TAGCTTGTTGATCCTTTTTCTGAAAGCTCTCCCTTCTTGGCTTCTTCTTTGGCGGCATTGTATAGGAGTATAGGTAGAAGAATGATAAACTTGTTGGGCGTGGTCATTAATTATTGATTAATAACTATAATAATCATTCTAAAAATAGTATATCCGCTAGCTCTGGTAGGCAGACAGAAAAGCTCGTTAAAGCGGGGGCGTTTCACACTCCTACTCCTTCCTTAACCCAACATTATGGACTCCTGCTCTAAGTGCTCTTTTATGAGGTTTATACTGTGTTTACACTAGCTTCTTTAACTGAGCCAGCCCTGTTTAAAGTGGGCCAGCACAGTTTCATTTGATAGTGTAAACAGCAACCAAACTGAGCTGAAGTGAGCTGGGCCAAACCAGGCCAGCATGGTTAGAACAGCAGGGCCAGCTCAGCCTGGTTCAGCACGGTTTGGCCCACTTCTGCAGTGTAAACGCAGCATAAGTCCCACAAACAGTACACCTCCTGACTAATCTATATCTATTACTTTAATGATCAGCCTCTTACTGAAGTAAGTTGGGTATCCACCTATAATTATTCTGATCTTGATTGGTCACTACATCTTCACCATATCTGCTCCAAGGCACATTATATGCTCGCCTTAATACGCAGAGTCATATATCCCCTTTGCAGTCCAGGTGTCAGGAAAATTATCTGTATTTGGTACAATCCAAATTATCCTTTCGTTCACCTGTCTAGCGTCTTCGTTATATCAAGGATATACTTTTTCTGGAGAGAGCGCAGCGCTGATCTACAAAGTTCATTTTAAATGATTACACTTCTGATTATAAGTCCCGTCTCCTCAGATTAATACCCTGTTCACACTACCCTTCAGAACTGTACTGGAACTGAGTTTTGGGAAGTACAGTGTAGTTTTATAACAAGCGTGAACATAACTGAACTGCACTGTGACCAAACCAAACCAGGCTAAAGTGGACCTTTAAGTGGTGCACCAAGATAGGTGCTCTGAAATGGTGTAGTTAAGTTTTAAAGTGAAGTTGGTGTAGTTAAGTTGTACAGTGTGAACTGCTACCAACATGGTTCTTTTATAACCAAAGTAATCTAATTAGGTACAGTTCTGTACAGCTGGGGAGGTAGTGTGAACACAGTATAAATCTACTTCCATTAATGTCATAGTATTACCTTGAGTTTTGTGACATCTTGTTTTTCCTGAAATCTCCATCACTCAACTTCTGGCAATATTTTTGATTATGTTTCTTTTTGCTCTAACAGTAAAGCTACAAAATCAGTATCCTATGGTAAACTACAACGCCAGTACACTCCAAATGACACTACAAGGTTCTTCTATTTCTATTGATTACCACCATGCATTGTGGAACAATTACCCACTCTCAATCTCTCCCTCTCTTATAATACTCTAAGTCTCAAATATATAACATTCTCACTTTAAAGCCAATTTTGATCCTTCATGACCCTGCTCTTTCCATTTTAAGTGTCCATGTTGCAAATGTTATGCTATGTCAACTTCAACTCTTCACTGATTCATCTCTCCTCTCTCCCTCCTCTCTAATCGTTAATTAATTAATTATAGTTTTACACCAACTTTTGTTTGGTGTACCCTCAACTTTCATTGTCTTTCCATAGTTTCACTCTGTGTCATAGTAATAATAATAATAATTATAAGGTATGGAGGCGTGGCTGGCTGCTGATCTAATTTTCTTGCTAAAGCAATAAAATTAGATCAGCAGCAAACCCCTAGTGATAACCTCAGTCTTGGATAAACCAAAACCGGAATCCTTTAGTGGTTCACCAATGATGCATGCATCGTCTATTACTATTATCTTTATCCTTTTTTTATAAGCTATTAATATAAATTTTTTATCAGCATTGTGAAAACAATTAATAAGCCAAAAATTATCCCTAATCAGAGCAACTACAAATCTACCAAAAACTACTATTATTATAACAGTTTGACTTGTTCAGTGCTATACTCCCAAAGCTTTGTGCAATCTTCATCAATAAGAGCCAGTTTGTTAGGCTTTTTAACAGCACAGTTAGACCAGTACTTGCCTGTAATACCTTCAGCTTCATCCGACACTGCACAATGGAGTGTAGTTTGAGCCCCTTGCTTTGGAGTCTTTGTGAGAAACCACATTAGAGTGTATAGCAAAGGCTACAGGAAAAAATAATGGAACACTTCAGTTGTCAAAAGATTAGTGTTCTTACAGCAAATATAATTTTCCAGCCAGCAACAATGTGTCGTGCCAGCTCAGTATTGATGACCCCAGGATGTAGTGAATAAGTAGATACACCAGTACCTTCCAGTCTCTTGGCCAGTTCCCTGCTGAACATAACGTTAGCGAGCTTGCTTCTTGTATAAGACCCTAATGCACTATAGCCACCATTGGCCCACATCATGTTATCAAAATCAAGAGATCCACGATAATTAGCACTAGAGGAAACGGTTACAATGCGAGATGGGGCTGATTCTTTGATACGGTCTAATAATAGATTAGTTAATAGAAAGTGTCCCAAGTGGTTGGTGCCAAACTGCATTTCAAACCCGTCCTCTGTGAGATGGTAAGGGCATAACATGACCCCAGCATTATTGATGAGTATGTCAATGTGACTCTCTTCTTGAAGTATCTCTTCACTGAACTGACGTATAGAAGCAAGGGAAGCCAAATCAAGCTTCTTCAATATGACTTCCTCGCTCTTGCTGGCTGCCTTGATATCCCGCACAGCATCACTGCCTCTCTTCTCGTCTCTGCAAGCAACTATGACTCTAGCTCCTCTCTTAGCCAGATCAATGGCTGTTTCTTTACCAATCCCAGTATTGCCTCCTGTCACAATGGCCGTCTTACCATCCAGACGTTTCTTGCTAGTACACGACCTCCCAATGACACAAAAGTACCTAAAAGCGGCCAAACCAACCACAGCAACACCAGAACAAAGAAGGATGGTCCTCAAGTCGAGAGAAATTCCTGCCATTTTATGTATCAAATTGGTGTAGCCGGTCCTCTCTTATTAGAGTGGCTCCGGTGTTGCCACACAACTATTATTATAGATCAATAGATACTATGTTGTGGTCATAGGGGTGTAGATCTAGATCTCTGAAAAATGATCTCAATTCTCTTGAATTTGGTCTGAGTGAGCTCAGCTCAAATTCAATCGCTCTAAGTGCTCTTTTATGAGGTTTAGTCCGACAGGCAGTACACCTCCTGACTAATCTATATCTATTACTATAATGATCAACCTCTTACTGAAGTAAAACTCATTAGAGACTTGGGTATCCATGCTATCTTCTGATCTTGATGGTCACTCAATCTTCACCATATCTGTTCCAAGGCATATTATATGGTCACCTTAATACGCAGAGTCATATCTCCTTTTGCAGTCCAGGTGTCAAGAAAATTCTGTATTTGTGTTTGGTACGATCCAAATTATCCTTTTGTTCACCTATCTAGACTAGTGTCCTTGTTATATCATGGATATACTTATTCTGGAGAGAACGCAGCGTCGATCTACAGAGTTTACTTTAAATGATTACACTTCTGACTATAAGTCCTGCCTCCTCAGATGAATCTAGTTCCATAATGTTCGATATGCCTTGAGTTTTGTGACATCTTGTTTTTCTTAAAATGTCTCCCAACTTCAATATTTTTGATTATGTCTCTTTTTGCTCTAACAGTAAAACTACAAGGTCAGTATCCTCTTGTAAACTACACAACACCAGTACACTCCAAATGACACAGCAAGGTTCTTCTATTTCTATCGATTACCACCATTGTGGAACAAATTACACCATGTACCTCCTCTCGATCTCTCCCTCTCACATAATACTCTAAAGCTCAAAATATATAACATCTTTTGGAACCACTTTAAAGCCAATTTTGATTCTTCACGACCCTACTCTTTCCATTTTAAGTGTCCATTTTGCAAATGCTTATGCTATGTCACTGAACTTCAACTCTTCACTGATTCATCTCTTCTCTCTCCCTCCTCTTTATAATCATTAATTAATTCTAGTTTTACACCATCTTTTGGTTGGTGTACCCTCAACTTTCATTGTCTTTCCACAGTTTCACTCTGTGTCATTTTAACTTTTAAAGTATTAATAGTAGCAAGAGTACTCTTGATAGTAGTAATAATAATAAAAATAAAGTATGGAGGCATGGCTGGCTGCTGATCTAATTTTATTGCTAAAGCACTACAATTAGATCAGCAGCAAACCCCCAGTGATATCCTTGAGTGGCTCACCAATGATGCATGCATTGTCTATTACTATTATCAAGAGTAAATAATACCTAAATTATTATTATGTACTCTTATTATTATGTATTAGGTATTATGTACTCTTGCTATTATCCTTATCCTTATTTTTATAAGTATGGTAATGTGAATTTTTAATCAGCATTGAGAACAAAATTAATAAGCCAAAAATATCTCTAATCAGATCAACTGTGAGCAACTACGAATCTACCAAAAACTACTAACATTATCACAGTTTGACTTGTTCAGTGCTATACTCCCAAAGCTTTGTGCAATCTTCATCAATAAGAGCCAGTTTGTTAGGCTTTTTAACAGCACAGTTAGACCAGTACTTGCCTGTAATACCTTCAGCTTCATCCGACACTGCACAATGGAGTGTAGTTTGAGCCCCTTGCTTTGGAGTCTTTGTGAGAAACCACATTAGAGTGTATAGCAAAGGCTACAGGAAAAAATAATGGAACACTTCAGTTGTCAAAAGATTAGTGTTCTTACAGCAAATATAATTTTCCAGCCAGCAACAATGTGTCGTGCCAGCTCAGTATTGATGACACCAGGATGTAGTGAATAAGTAGATACACCAGTACCTTCCAGTCTCTTGGCCAGTTCCCTGCTGAACATAACGTTAGCGAGCTTGCTTCTTGTATAAGACCCTAATGCACTATAGCCACCATTGGCCCACATCATGTTATCAAAATCAAGAGATCCACGATAATTAGCACTAGAGGAAACGGTTACAATGCGAGATGGAGCTGATTCTTTGATACGGTCTAATAATAGATTAGTTAATAGAAAG